CTGCGGGGCCGGGGGCTGCGGGGCCGCCCCTGACTGCCTGCCCCCACAGACCAGCCACGCCATCACGCTGCAGAAGACGGTGGAGTACATCACCAAGCTGCAGCAGGAGAGGAGCCAGATGCAGGAGGAGGCGCGGCGGCTGCGCGAAGAGATCGAGGAGCTGAACGCCACCCTCCTGTGAGGCCCGGCCTGGGCCCCGCGGCGCGTCCCCCCATGGCGCGTCCCGGAGTCAGTGCACCCTCTGCGCTTGGCGCAGCCGAACAGAGGCCCAGATCAGCCCTTCACGGCCCCTCTTCCCCGACCATTCCCTGGTCCTAGCTGCGGCCCAGCGGTGGTCAGCTCTGCCCATGGTGCCAGTGCTCCTCCAAAGCCTCCCCAACTCCTGTCGTTCCAGCTCCTGCCAGCAGCTGCTCCCCGCCACAGGCGTCCCTGTCACCCGGCGCCACTTCGATCACATGAGGGACATGTTCGACGAGTATGTGAAAAGCCGGACCCTGCAGAATTGGAAGTTCTGGATTGTATCTTTGCGTTTTCTTTGCTCCCCACCCCCAGCCAGTGTATGGAAATGACAGGCAGGGACATGCCCCTTGCTCGAGAAACATCCTGTCCCGGTGGGGCCTCAGTTCATCAGGTCAGGCTGTGCTGCTTGTGTCTCGTGGGTGGGGTCTGGCCTGGCCTGGGGGCCAGCAGCGCTGTGTTTGGTGACCGACCGACCGCCTGCCTGGAAGGGGTACAGGCAGGAGGTGGGCTCTGCTCCTTCGTCCTGGGGAGTCAAAGCCATGCTGAAGCCTTGCACAAGCAGCACCGTGGGGGGGTGAGAGCCAGCACAGCCAGCAGCCAGGGACAGGGAGTGGGTGCTGCCCTTGGGGGCAGATGGATTCCAGGGGTCTCAGAACCCCTGAGGTGTGGCGCAGATTTGAACCCCCTCCCCTGGCTCCCCGGCAGTTCCGAAAGCCCAAGTGTTAGAGTGACACGTCTGTGTGAGTGCGAGTCTGCGCTCAGCCGTCCAGGGGCTGCATGGCTTCTATGGGGGGGCTCCCACCTGCTCACCGCCCCCTGGCTGGCCCTGCCTCTGAGGAACCAGCTGACATGCACAGGTCCAAGCTGGACAGTCCTCAGGAGGAAAGGGCCGCAGGCGGGCCGGTGGGCAGGCAGGCAGAGGCGATGTGCTCTGGCGACTGAAACCGAGCGGTGACAGGCTCCAGCCCCTGCTTTGCTTCTCTGTCATGCCCAGGTCCGGACCCCCTGCCGCAGTGGAGGGGCCGGCAGTGGAAACCCCAGCCTGGGTCGGGCACGTGGCAGGGACCCATGTGGGTCCAGTGAGGAGCTGCTATGCTTGCCTGTGGTTCAGGAGACCAGCAGGCAGTAGCCTGTGTCCCTCCTGCTGCGTCCCCTCGATGCTCTGCGTTCACATCGTGTGCAGGCCGAGAATCTGTCTCAGCCCCATGCCTGCGCGTGGCCAGTTACAGTTAGAGCAGAGCGTTTTCGGCGATGCAGGACACAGCGAGCCTGGAGGTCCCCCCACAGTGGGGGGTCACGGCAGTCAGCTGGGCTCGGGCTGCTTTCCCTCAGCCCCTGCGCGCACGTTTTCTTTGACCGCGCTGCAGTTCAGCAGCATCATCAAGCCGCTGTTCGAGTCGTTCAAGGGCGTGGTGTCCACCAGCAGCCTGGAGGAGCTGCACCGCACGGCGCTGTCCTGGCTGGACCAGCACTGCTCCCTGCCCGTCCTCCGGCCAAGTGAGTGGGGCGGCGCCGGGGCCTCCGGGCGTCTGCTGTTGGGGACAGGGGCCCTTAGCCAGAGTCAGTGCTTAGGAACACCCAGATCCACCACCGGTGCTTACGGCCGTGCCAGGGCCAGGAAGATGGAGCTGTCCCCGAGGCCTGGAGCCAAGGGCCCCCACAGGGTCAGGGAGCGCCTCTAGATCTCCTTATCGTCAGTGTGTCTGTCAGTTCAGACAAACTCTGCCTGTGTTATTGAGCACCTACTGTGTGCTGGCCCTGGCTCGGAGGGTGAGGGGTTGGCTTTCTGGTGTGCTTTCTCATTCAGTGTTGTAATAACAAAGCTCTTCGCACCGGTCAGGCTGTGGGAGCTTAGTGCTGAAGGACAGGGTGGGGCCAGCAGGTGGCGAAGTGGTTGAGGCGCTGGACGCCCACATGGCCCACGGTGGCTTGAGTCTTGGACCGGGTGGCTTGCTTTCTCTCTCTCTTTGGTGAGCGCATGTGCCCTATGGCAGTTCAAAAAATAATGATAAATAAAGATTAAATCATTCTTTACAAATTTTAAATAATAAAGTGTGTGGGGCACATCTGTGGCAGCAGGAGAGCCAGGACCCCGTCCATGGTGGCTCCTGCCAGGGTGTTCGGCATTGTCTTCGGGCAGAAGCGCAAACGCTCAGATCTCAGCCCGGGACTTCCAGGCGCTCCCTTGCAGTCCGCCTGTGGCTGTCACTTGGTGTCCCAGAATGTCCACGTGGGGTCGTGTGTGAAGCTGTGTGGGCCGCATGGCGTGGCCGGTCCCTGACTAACTGCCCTCTGTCTCCCAGTGGTGCTGAACACGCTGCGGCACCTGAGCACCACCACCTCCATCCTCACGGACCCGGCCCGGCTGCCTGAGCAGGCCTCAGAGGCTGGCCCCAGACTCAGCCAGAGACCGGGAGCGGCTTACGCGCTGGA